GCGGCTTGGGGAGGGGAGAAGAGCTGCCCCCCATCATCCTAACCAAAGAGGGGGCTTTGAGGGGCTTCCTGGGGACCCCCCCAAACCTTTAAGGCCCTCCAGGAAGGGGGGAGTTGGGCCCCCAAAGGGGGGGATTTTGGAACTGAGGGGGCTTTTCCTCCCCCCTCTTTTCCATGAGGGGGGGACAGGGTCCCATAATTTGCCTTTATTTCATTTAATTAAAGGATGGTTGACCCCCCCCTTTACCCTGGAAAAGGACCCTCCTTTTGGGTCCTGGGATTTATTACTAATATTTGAAATATTTTTGCCCCACGTACCCCCTGAAAATGGATCCTAAATGAGGCTTGCCCTCCGGCCATCGCTGATCCAAAGAACCTTTCGGTAGCTCTAGCCACATTGTGACTCAGAGACCTGTGTCACCTGGAAGGCTGACCGTTTTCCTTTGGCCGAAGCTTTTGTAAGCTGGCACCCCCCGCCCCCGCCCAAAGCATCTCGCATCTGCTGCCTTGGTCCTTCGGTGGCCACTTGCACCCGACCCAGTGGGCCACCCGCAACTCACTCAAATTTATGCCGAATATAATCTCTTATCGCCTTTAAGGTGTTCTTGGGGCTGCTTGGTTTTGCTTCGTCAGATTCGCACAGCAAACCTTCCTCAGAATTTCTCTTCTATAACACTGTCATTCCGCTGTGAGTGGTGGAAATGAATTTCTGGCAGATGTTTTTCTGCCTCTTCCCTCATATTCTTGTTTTGAGAGACCGAAAATCTGCCCTGACAAGGAAAGCGTCTTTTCAAGCCGAGAATATGCGGTCAAACCTGTTCGGTGGCAAATCATCAGAGGTGGGAAAATTAGTATTTTGCTGTCGTTTTGCACTATAACTCCCAAACTCTTGCACCCAGAGTTTAAAGTCTCGGCTCATTCACAGCGGAGAGCGTCTTATCAAACTAGTTATGATTGGTCCGAAATGGCAGTGGTTACTCTGACTACAATTCCCATGTGCAGGGACCCTGTGGGAGTTCTGTTCAAATAATTCACTGTTCCAAGAATGCTAAATGGCTGGGTGTAGTTGCAGCAATGAAAAAGAGGGTGGCTGCCTTTCAGAAATGGGGAGACTATTGTGTTTCCTCATATGCAACCTGGCTTACTTGCTCGATCTGCCTGTTCTGCAAGCGCAGAGAGAGAAAGAGAGAGAGAGAGATCGAATTCTGCCTGCTGTCTGGAACAAATTGATATCTGGGAGACTTATTCTAGCTCCAAAGTCTAGAAACTTTTTCAAAATGTCTGACGAGGGTAGACCGATGTTCAGTGAGACCTTGGAGGGCTGTCACAGGTCACAGATTTCGTGTTTTCTCTGACTTGATGGCTTTCTGCTACAACCGGTAGTCGTTATGTGCGTTTGGGGGAGAGCGAAGGGCAGGCTTTTCGCCTCTTGCTTACATCCTTTGATCTGCAATGGCTCCTTCGCGTCTGAAAGTCATTTCAAGGTTCCAGTCCTCAAGGATTTGTGTGTGTGTGTGTTTGTCACGATTTCAAGGCCCAGCTCAGCAGATGGAGCAGCACAGCCCCCCCGCGGGCTTCCCAAATTTCAGAAATGATGCCTGTTCATGTAAGGAGGGCAATTCTGCGAGATCGTTACGGCTCGAGATGAAAAATTGCCTGCCTGCAGCCGTTCTTTTCCCAGGGCGCAAGTGTGGGAGGCAGAAACTCCCGAGAAGTGAGAATTCTTATTATTTTTAATTGCAAGAGTTTTGAATCCGTGTCGGTTGTCAGGATCTGTATTCACGTTGGAGCGTTGGGCGCTTATAAATCACGGAGGCGCCTGAAATATTGGTGAAAATCAAAATTCGAAGGTGAAAACATCAGACTCTTTTTGACCAGAAGCGGTTAGAGCTTAAGATTTGTGCAAAAAATATATTCCTCGGCTTTGGTCCGGTGGGTCAGCATCGAGAAAGTGGGTGGCTTTGGTGCTGTCCGGGGGATGTCCGGGCGAATCCCCACTCTTCCAGGTTCTGGGGGGCTCCCTAGGGCTCCCTTATCTGCGGAACCAGTATCCGCGGTTTCGCTTTCCCGTGGCCCGAAAGAAATTATGGGGTCGGTAGTTTCTTCCTTTCAAATGTTTTAGATTGGAGTCTCCCTCGACTCTTTACCATTTCCTTCTTCTGGCCAATGCTTTCGATTCTCATGGGTTTGGGGGGACTCAGAAAGGGGCTTTAATTGTGTTTTTTTTTTTTACATTGGTGCTTTAAAAACCCTGCCTCTAATTTATAACAGTCATGTTTTGAGCTGTGTACTAAGGACCCTAATGCTCTGTGCTCCCATTTCTGCCTCTTTTGTACTCAGAGCCGCGGAAATTTTTTTATACGAATCCGTTTGGATCGAATTCCGAATGGGTGAAGGCAGTGCGAATTGCGTAACATTTGAGGGCGGAATTCCCCTCGTTGTAGCAGGACGCCTCTCCGAAGGCGATGGGGTGATGCAGTCAGATGTGTGCCCTTGATGATTTGGGCGGCCAGTTTTGGGGAGCGAATTTTGGGCCTTTTAGAGCCACGAATTTCTCTCTGTTACTGCTGCTGCCGTCCTCCCATCCCTGCTAGAGCGGTGGAACTGCATTCACCTTGGAAAGGCGCCCTGGGTCTCTCTGCAGGCACTTGGCGAGCGGGCTCTTTCATCCCCGGAACAGCTGGGGACATCTGCAAGGCAGCCTCCCTCTGCGGGGGGGGGTGGTGTCCCTGGAGGCTGGCAGGAAAGGACAAGCTTCCTGCCTTCTGCAGGGGGTGGAGGGCCAGAGGCCTGGGAGAGGGTCCTGCGGCCTCAGCATCTTAACCATCCTCATTTCTCCCTGTGGCTTTTGACTTGCAGAGGGTCTCTGCTAAAACCTGCCCTGGCTGGCGTTCCCCCTGCTGCCCCGGGCAGCTCATTTATATGTAAACTCCCCCCTTTTGCAGGAGGTTTTAGGGTTAGATGCTACCCCTTCTTATGCTGATGCTGTCAGGGGCTGTCTACTCTCCATTCGTGCTGTGTTCTCCCCCCCTCCCCTCTTGGCTTGCCCACCCTGAGCGTTGGGTTTAACTTTCCAAGCACCCTTGTTTTAGGGGGCAAAACTTTGCTGTTTTTTGCAAGCTTTTTAGGGCCAGAATACAGTAGGATCAGGTATCCACTATTTCACTTATCAGCCACCTAAAAACATCAAAAGAAAAATCCCAGAAATATACAGTCTATTTCAAAATATGAAGTTACCAGAATTGGCCACGGGAGGGAGCCAGACACCATGATATATATTCACTATTAAACTAGCAATCAGTATAATCCATGTTTTCAGCATCCGCAAAATGGAGGCACTTGGAAGAGGTCCCCAGCAGACAGGGGTATCCTAAGGCATCTGGAAGCACTCAAGTTCTACAATTTTATCAATATTTTAATATTTTCAGATCATGGATAAGTGAATCAGCGGATAGAGATCCCGCCGATACAGGGGTCCTACTGTGAATAAAGGGGGTCAGAATTTGGTGCCTGGAGGGCCAGAGCCCTCCTGTCTTTGCAGCAGAATTTTGCCTTGGTCGATCTTCAGCTACCTGGGTTTCCCGGCACGTGAGCACAGCCAACCAAGAATCCAACCTTCTCAGTCCCGTTTGTCTCGGCTTCTTTCTCCCCCTTCCAGATTCCTCCGAGGAGGTGGCGCCTCCTCCATGCCAAAAGTTTGTGATCCCCAAGAAAGAGATCAACATGGTTCCCGACATGGCGAAGTGGAAGCGCTCCCAGGTACGGCGGGCGTTTTCGTTGGCTTGCGTCCAGCTCGGCGCAATTGGGGTTTCCCGCTGAGAAAAGAGTTTCCTCTCAGGGTGACAGTTTGGTGCCACTTTGGGCAGTTTTGAGGGCGCACATGGTAAAAAGCTCCCCTCTAGATTCCCTGCAGGTAGAACGCAAGCCCCTCAAGGAGAAAGGTCCCAAACTGGCAGGACGAAGGAGCTGGGGAAGCCGGTTTTTCCATCCTTCTATCATTTGTGCTCATCATAGAATCATGGAGTTGGAAAGGGGGCCTCTGAGGCCATCAAGTCCAACCTCCTGCTCAGGGCAGGAATCCCGATCCAAGCAGAACTGACCAATCGTTGTCCAATTTTATCTTGAAAGCCTCCAGTATTGGAGCGCTCACAAGTGATGGAGGTTTTCTGGGTCTTCTATGCAACCATGTGCATGTGTGTGTGTTTCTCAACAGGCGTATGCGGATTATATGGGCTTCATTCTCACCCTGAACGAGGGCGTCAAGGGGAAGAAGCTGACCAGCGAATACCGAGTGTCTGAGGTAGGTGGAAAGCACCAGGTTGTCTCCCACTGTATCCCCTTATCTGCGGGATCAGTATTCACTGATTCCCTTATCTGCCGTCTGAAAGTAGTAAAAGTATTAAAAGAAAAATCCTAGGAATATCTATTTCTAAAGATGTAGTTACCAGAACTGGCCATGGGAGGGAGCCAGAGACCACACTACAGGCGCACCTCGGTTTACGGATGTAATGTGTTCCCCGGGACGTTTCGTAATGCGAAAAATACGTAAACGCCGTTTCCCATGGGAACACCTGCACGGGGGCAGCACTATAAACCTCCCAGGCGCAATGCATCCTGGGGAAACGTTCTTCATACTGCGGAAAAAATTCGTAAACCGAGGCATTATTTTCAATGGATTTCTGACCATAAACCGAAAACTACGTTAACCGAGGCACGCCTGTATATCGAGACCGAGAGAGAGTTTGCTGTAATCTGCGTTTTTCAACATCCACAGGGGGCTTGGAACTGGTCCCCCTTGAACGTGTGTGTGTGTGCGTGTGTGTGTGTGAGAGAGAGAGGTCCACCTCTCTTGTCATCTTGGCCAACAGCGTGAAGCGACGGCTCGTTTGGCAAACCCGAGATTTTGCCCGTTTCAGAACAGGAGAGGGACCTCAACAACCCCTTGCTGAGCCGAGAGGCCAGCTTTTGTCTGATGGGGGGGTGTCTGTCGCCCCAGGAGACCGGCTGCTCTCCTCCTTATGGATTGATGTCTTTGAGAGCAGGACAGCCTCGGCTGTTCTGCTTTGCCGAACCTTCTCTCCCTGTACCTAGGCTCTTTTTTGGGGGGGTGGGATTGCTTTCGAGCCACTGAGCGAAGGACGGGCCAGATGCACGACAGCAGTTCCCTCCTGCCTTTCCCCAAGGCAAGGACTCAGCAAGGTACCGGGGAGGGGGCGCAGGGAAGAGCGTCAAGAGGGGCTGCCTCTTTCTCACCGGCTCTGGTGCGGAGTCTCAAAACACAGCGCCTCCTTGTCTTCTGCTGCCATTAAAAACAAGGGAGAAATTGCCATTTCTCCTCCCCCCTTCATTATTTTAATGCAAGTAGAGTCCCCTTGCAGCGTGTTCCTTCCGTCCGTCCATCCGTCCTTTAAATTATTTTCGATGTCCCTAGGGGGACCCAAGGTGGCTCACAACAGATCAACCCACTGATTTATTTTCTTTATTTAATATATTTTTTACCCCGCCTTTCTCCCTAAAAGAAATCTAGGCGGATTTAAAAGCACTGCATGAATATCACACAGTAGGGACCCCTTGTCCACGGCATCAGTATTGGCTGATTCACTTATCCCTGGTCTGAAAACATTAAAAATATTAAAAGAAAAATTCCATAAATATACACTTCTAACCTTGATATTACCAGAACTAGCCACAGAGGGAACCAGAGACCTTGTTTTGTTATCGCTATCAAAATAGTATTTGCCATAATCTGTGTTTTTCAGCCAGATTTGAGCTAAATATCAGGGAAAGCTTCCTCACTTTTAGAGCAGGAGAGAACAAGGGATCCCATGACCACGAGAGGTGGCGAGGGAGCCAAGAGACCATGCGATGTACGGTGCTTGCTGTTAAAATAGCGTTTGCTATAATCCGCATTTTTCGGCATCCGTGGAGGAGATTGGAACCAATCCCCTGCGGATTCCTGGGTCCGACTGTCCAAGCATAGCTAATATACAAGCCGGCAGAATGTCGGCGTAAAGCGTAGGTCAGAACATAGGCATCTGCCTTATACTGAGTCACAAGCCTCGAACTCAGTACCACAGAGTCTGAATGTCATCGCTGTTGAGGCCGGAGATGCTAGGGGACAAATCCAGCCCTTCCCAGTTTGCCGCCCCCTGAGCTGCCGCCCCTTCCCAGCAGACGTGCCTGGGGTTTCCATCCCCCAGCGCTCGGGAAGCGTTGGGAGATCTCTACGGCTCATCAAGAACTCTGCAGACATCCCCCCCCGAGAGGCGCTCCTTCTCCTTGCGCGTGCCCATCCGCCGAGGAGGCGAGGCGCTCTCCCTGCCTCCACCCTCCCTCGCTCCGCCGTTAATACTGAGAAGTTGCTGGGCTCGGCAGTTTTCCCCCTGCCCTTCTGCTGACGGCGCGCCGAGATCGAACTCTGCCCCAGGAGACCCGCGCGCTTCTCGCGGAGGACGCCTCCAGCAAAGTCAACGGTTCCGCCGCAGCTGGTGCTTTCTTCAAGGTGGAATTGCTTTCCGGCGCGGCTCGAATGGTGGCCCCCATTTTTGCAGCGCAGATGTCGAAGTCTGGATGGACAGATTGCAGTCGGAGCGAATGTCCGAAACACAAGAGTCACGCTGCTGGTTGATTCCCACCCACCCCCAGCCCGCCACACGTGTAGGGGTTTGTTTTTATTTGAAATCTGGTTTGCTGGATTAATTTTGAGGCACATGGCCAACAAATGTAAATAGTACAATTTAAAAAAAGGTCATTGGTTAGTAACTGAAATGAACAACAAGAATTCTGAATAGATGGACATGCACGCATCGGTGTCCACCCTATGTGAAATCTCTAGGCGCTGTTGAAACTAGAGATGTTGGCAGGTCTTTGGATCTTGAGTCTCGAGTTTGAATTTTTGGTACCAAGTCCTGGCTCCCAAGTCCCTCTTAAAAACAGGCTCCCCCCCAAGAAAAAAAGGAAGGGGTGGGTGGGTTCCGAGTCACAAATTGAGTCTGAGTCATTGGAAAAAAACAAAAATGAGTGGAGTTTCAAGTCAGAGGTCCGACTTGTCAGGAAGTCCTCAGTCTTGAGTCCCCATCCCTGGTGGAAAACGGAAGCTGTCCTCCGTTGGGCCCATCCGGAGAAGGAAAGAGGATTCTCTAGAGAGGGCCGTCCTGCTGCTGGGAAAGGCAGGAGGCAGCAGGAAAAGAGGAGGAACCCCATACAAGATGGGCGGACTCCCTCAAGGAAGCCATGGGCTGAAGTTTGCAAGAGCTGAGCCGGACGGGCCTTTTGGAGAGCGCTCATTCACCAGGTCTCCATGAGTCGGAGGCAACGTGGCAGCCCCTCACGTCAACAGGTGCTTTGTGCTAGCGACCTGACGCAGGTTTTAAGCCTGAGGATGTGGCCCCTGATCTGCAAAAGCTAGCAGGCGGTTGCATCCCGTGGGTGGCCTGCCAAGGAAGTGCCTTTCTCTTGCATTTGCCCAGCAGTGTGCACAGAACTCACACGCACACACGTGTCCTGGCGTCTCATCTTCGTTTGGAACAAACCGCGTCTGCTTCTCTCGTTAGCCCATCGAGAAGCTGGTCGATCTCCTGAACGTCCTGGACAAGTGGATCGACGAGACCCCGCCGGTGGACCAGCCCTCGCGCTTCGGGAACAAGGCCTTCCGGATGTGGTACGCCAAGCTGGACCAGGTAGGCAGAGCGCAAGGAACTGAGCGGGGTCGGCAACAGTGTCTCGTAGGCGGGCAGGCCTGTTGCTTCCTCCCCGTGTGATACGGAGAGGATGGGCTGCTTTCCCCCACCAGTCCTGGCCAGCCAGGGGTAAAGGAGCATGGGAACTGTAGTAGAACAGCATCTGGGAAGGTCAGCTCTTCCTTACACAGCGTTTGGGTTCTGTCATCCGCAAGTCCGTCTCTCTCCTCCCAGGCAATCCGAGGGGCACGCGGGCTGGCCTAACTCTTCAACTGTGTCGGTTTCTTATTTGTTCTTTAAGGGAGCGGAGAAGCTGGTGGCCTCCGTGATCCCCGCAGAGCAGGCGGCTGCCGTCCCCGAGGTGGCCACGTACTTGAAGGAGGCAGTGGGGAACTCCACCCGCATCGATTACGGGACAGGTAACCCTGGAACCGGGCGCCGGCTTTCCCGCCCTCCCCTCTTTTCCCTCCCGGATGTTCCGGTGGCCGCTCGGACCAAATCCGGGTCGGCCCCGTCGAGTTTCGGACCGAATCGTTTGAGTCACCCCAGCTGCCAAACGTCCCTGTTGGGGGAAGGGGTTTTTCCGAGGGCATCGTCTCCCTGGCTGCAAACATAACGAAGCCGATCAGGGTGCGGATCCTGCTCTGCCCAAAGCTTGCGAAGGGTTTTGGCGTCAGTGTCGATGGAATGGCTGGGGATCCCCCTGCGAAGCAGCTGTTGGCCAGCAGTGGGCGCTGTTGCCCGTCGCCGGTTCGATCCTGCCCTTCCCATCCTCTGCGTTTTCTCTCTAGCTCCCATCAAGGGTGCCCTTGGACAAAATCACCTCTCTTAAAGCTTTTGCAAAAGTAGCCACAGTTTTGGGGGAACAAGAAACCCCCCCACCCCCCAGCAATCTGGGTGCAGGGAGATCCCTGGATGGTTTTTCTTTAACCCACATCAGCTGGGGCGGCGAAGGACAAACAGGCTGGGGTTTGGGGGGTCGGCAGGATAGTGGTTGACGAAGCACCCCTCCAGCATTGAACTAGAAAAAGAGCAAAGCAGTAAAAAAAGACCCACAAAAGAATAAGAAGACAAAGAAGGCAGAGCTGGGCAGTCGCCTTCTCTCGGGGTTTCAACGAGGACGGGAAGGTGCCCAGGCTTCTAAATTCTGAACGCTCTTTTTTTGATCAGGCATGGGGGTTTAGAGGTTTGAGGAATGGGGCAGGACCCCAGCGTTCAAAAACTGTGGGGTGCTGCTGTAAAATATCCTTTTCCAAGGTGCCTTCTGGAGAAGAGGTGGGCTCGGAGATCCCTAGGGGTCCCTTCCAGCTCGGCTGTTCTAGGATGATGCCTCGGAGATGCTCCCAAGCCCCCCGAAGCTTGTCCTCTGGGGTCTAGACTGGACTCGGTGATCCCTAGGGGTCCCTTCCAGCTCGGCCGTTCTAAGATGACGCCTCGGAGATGCTCCCGAGCCCCCCCCCCGAAGCTTGTCCTCTGGGGTCTAGACGGCCTCCGTAAATGTGAAACACGAATGAGCTCACGGGTCTTCTTACGCTTGCCTCTCAGGCCACGAAGCGGCTTTTGCCTCTTTCCTCTGCTGCCTTTGCAAAATCGGCGTTCTCCGGGTGGACGACCAGCTAGCCATTGTCTTCAAAGTGTTCAACAGGTAAAGCCCCAGGGGAGGGGAAGAGGCAAGAATGGGCCAGGGGCTTGTCTCCAAGCAATGCTCTCCAGCGGCCCCGGATGGGAGCAGAGGAAGGCTTTCCTTGAAAACGTCCCCTGGATGGGGTCCCTTCTCCACCCCATGCCCACAATAGGTGGGGCAGCAATGACCCAGAAAAAACCAGAAAAAAAGGGGGGAGGAAACAAAAAAGCTTCCTGTACCCCTTTACTGGCCAGACCTTTTTTAAAAAAGGTAAAATACCCCACAAATTTTGGGGGCCCCTGGGGGCCCCGAGACGATCAACGTCTGGGCCACCAAGCTCTGGACTGGGATCCTGGCCTTGCCTGTCTGGATTAGCAGAAATCAGGCGACAGGGCGGCTCCAGGAAGAGTCAGTGAGGTAGCTAGGCCACTGCTCAGAGAGACCCTCCAGTGCCCAGAGCAGTCTAGCTTCCAAGCTTGACCAAATTGCACTGTCTGCTTGCTCCAGCCTGGTTTTGGCCTTTCTGCTGTTCTTGGTCCAGACCTTCCCCCCCACCCCCGGGGTCTTCCTCCCCTCTGCTGTCCTCATCGTAGGCGGCACGGTTTCCCGTCCGCTGAATGTGTCGCCGGGACTCGCTCTCAGAGCTTGGGACCTCTTCCTAGGGCGCTCCCGCTTCCCAGGGCCCGCGGCTGTGTTACGTGACCGGCTCTGGCCTCGTTGCAAAAACAGAGTCACTTTCCTAAGCTTTCCTCGTTCCACGAGCAGAGCCAGCCGCTGGCAAGTCTCACCCCAGTGGGGCTGACCCCGTTCCCTTTCTGCCTTTTTTCCTTCTCTCTCCAGGTACTTGGAAGTCATGCGGAAACTCCAGAAGACCTACCGGATGGAGCCGGCTGGCAGCCAAGGGGTCTGGGGGCTGGACGACTTTCAGTTTCTGCCCTTCATATGGGGCAGCTCGCAGCTAATAGGTAACCTCTTAGGATCAGCCGAGTTTCACGCCTTGGTCTCCCCGAAACGAGGGCTGGATCCGTTGGGCTATACCGTAGGACCCCTGCATCCGCGGATGCTGAAAAGCGCAGGTTATAGCAAACGCTGTACACAGCTTGGTCTCTGCCTCCCTCTAATGGCCAGTTCTGGTAATGTCACAGTGGAAATATATTTCTTGAGTGAACCGGATACATAGTGTTGTCTCTGGCTCCCTCTCAGGGCCAGTTCTGGGAACTACATCATTAAAGAAAGATAGAAAGAAAGAAAGAAAGATA